ATAGACGTCGAGAGAGTCCGGTGCGAGGACTGGCAGGTCGAGAGGTTTGTCATAGACTACCAGTCCTGCGATAAGGCCTACGAAGCGCTCGTGAAAGCCATGCGATGGAAGAAATCCTATGGCATTCACGACAGGAGTCACTCATACTTTCCCAAAGAGTTTCACACAATTTTTGGTGACTATCACATCGACCGAAAGGGACGGGCAGTCCGGTGGACAGTGGGTAATCATTACCGTAAAATCGGCGACTTTTCCCTTTTAATGCAACAATACTTGTGTTATATCGTGGAAATGGAGGACAGGGAGGTCAGAAATAACGGTTTAGTGGGCGTGGTTCTTATGATGGGGACAGGTATTAGGAATGCCGATATGTCTCTAGCCATACACATGGCTCAGGTATTGTCGTATTACCCCATGGCTATACGACAGGCCCTGTTTGTAGACTTACCCTGGATCTTGGGTGGTTTTCTTAAAGTGGTTTTGAGTTTATTACCCAAAAGTATTGGAAATAAAGTGAAAGTTATTAAAAGCGATGATTTGGTCGAGTATTTCGATGTCGAGGAGATTCCCGTGAATTTTGGTGGTAAACTTGTGGCCAGTTATGCATATATTAATGAGATGTCAGCCCTATGTGACTGCAAATACTTGGGTTTCAGTGATAAACAGATTGACAACTTTTATGATACTTATAGGGATTTGTTTCAATATAACAACAATAAACAACTACCTTGATAAACGTTTCAAACAATAAAGAATAAAATGATATATTTATTGTTTAATTAATTTCGTAATTAATTTTTTAAAATTAAAATTATGAATATTCTTTAACTTCAAAATATTTAAAGTTTACTTAATTTAAACTTAAAAGATATGTGCTGGCACATGTTTAAGAATTCATAATAATTTAATCTCTTTTAGGTAAACTCATCCAGTATAAAGTGCCTTTCTCCATTATTTTCACTGAATCGACATATGCATCAAGCTCCTCTATACCGTACTCTTTAAATTGATGTTCATAATATAGTACCATGGTCCATGTTTCGTTAATTAATTTAACGAGCTTATCAGCTGCAGCTTGTGCGTCACATTGATCATGGTACATAAACAAATTAATGTACGAATACTTATTTCACCATTCAGTACTTCCTTCTTAAATGAACAACTATACTTGTATTGGCAATATTAGCTATAACTATTAACTATATATAAATATATCAATTAATTAGTTACTTTATTAAGATCATAAATTATTATCACTTTTAAATATTAATGATGTTCATAAAATTATATTTTTAATAACATCATGAATATTTTATTTATTAATAAACAATAATTATATTGTTTTATGAATCATTTAAAAATATATTAAAAATATAAAAATTATAAATATAAAAATATAAAATCTGATATAATTAGTTTTTAAATTATAAATAGAATTACATTAAATACAATATTAAAATTATATAATTTCATGCTTAATATTTAATTGTTTAGAAATACACTGATCATTTTGGTGCTTAGCACTTGTTCGTTCAGATTGATGCGTTTTGACGCAAATAAACATAAATGCCGTCAATTTGAGTGCAACACAAAGTGCACACAAATTGAGCAAATTGTACCAGAACACATTCTCGTCGATATCCAAACTGTACAAAACGGTGGACATCTGGTTGTGAGAGCACCGACCGAACCCATAGATGAGTAAAACGATACACTCGAAGGCGTATCTAATATATGATAAACTGCTCAATACTTGGAGGACGTAATGAAGTTGTTTGACGGGAAAGAGACTGTTGCCGAGTAGGACGAGCACCGCCTGCACCAGTATGGCAAACACCATGGCCACTTTGGGCTCCTTCATGAATAGTAGAGCTGATATTTGGGATACACTTTGCACGCATAATATGAGCAAAATGTTGAGCACAAATGAGTAGATATAATATTGGGTCGTATTGTATAAGTTAATAATCCAACAGAATAATGGCAATGCTAACACAATTGGTACCATGTCCACAATTGTGCGTGTCCATAAATAGGTACCTGTGCTATACCAACCTGGAAACAAAATATCAACCTGGTATCATTAGTAAATGTTTTCTAAGTTCTAAACTCAAATTAAGTAACAGTAACATTCACTCAAGTATTTAAGCAGTTACCATAAAAATTAATTAATAAAATTGAAATAGAGACCTTTTAAAGTAATAGACATTTTAATTAGACAATACGTCTGGTTCTAAAAATCATGAAATAATAGGCAGACCTACCGTTTCGTTGATGATTGTGAAAAATTTTAAAATCGGTACCAAATGTGGCTGACATTATAATTAGTATTAAAAATGCAATGGACATGAGCATGGACACATTGTATTTTATATTTTGCTTGATTAGCGACGTCTCTTCAATCTCAGCCTCTGTTTGGTTACAGTCGGAGCTGAACTCCAGTTCCATACAACTGTCCGGTTCTATCATATTTGCCGGGAAATGCGATTTCAGTATAAGTGCTGTCATTTGAAACGCTGAGAACAGTAACAAGAGGGACAACCACTGGCACCGGAATGTGTAGATCAGGGAACTGGAGAGCAGATAATATAAGTCTTTAAAACTAAACCTTTTTGATTTATTTTGGTTGCCATTAATAGGGCGTAAGTTTGCAATCATTTGTGGATTGATTTGTGTATTAAACCAATTATTTGCAGACAATTCTTGGGAACTATTGTTTGTATTGTCTTTTGATGCCATTTTCAATAACACCTCAATCGGCACATCATTTTCGGTGAGTTTATAGTCGCAGTCAATGAGATGTTGTCTCAATTGTAGGGGAACTCCATCGTAGAGACAATGGCCTCCTTTGGCCAACACATAGATGTTGTCAAACATGTGAAACAAGTCGTTGTTTGGCTGATGAATGGATGCAATGATAGTCATCCCATGTCTTCGGGACAACACTTTTAAACAGTTAATCATCTGAAATGCAGACAACAAATAGGGTTAACACATGAATATCAAGTAATACCTAATTACATATATGAGAGAGAGAGAGAGAGAGAGAGAGAGAGAGAGGTATGTCTGACCACTAGAGCGGCACTACTGTCCAAACCAGAGGTCGGTTCGTCAATACATAGCATATTAGGCTTTATATGAGCCGTGAGTTCGCAGGCGATGGCAATCCTCTTGTGTTCGCCTCCACTACACGTCTC